AATGCGAATTTCTAAGTTCATTGTATTGGAGAAATTAGGGTAAAGCATAAATCAAAATAAGTGCATGACCATATTCTCAGGCTTTCTGTAATCGTCAGTCGCCCACTAATGTTTCCCTTACAAATGCTACGATGGTAAATGCTGTATGGAAAGTACATTATTCCGGGGCATAGCCAACAAGATTAGTTCCGCGAGTTGATTTTGTTACGCTCATTTTCCTGAAAAATTTCCAAAAAAAGTACTGCTCTCATATCCTCGTTGACTTTTTGAGCCAACAGATTTTCCTTTTAGTGTAATCTTTTGCTCTATCGTTCATTGGAAACCTCATAACAGTTCACACATACAAAGTTATGGTCACGCAAACTGGATTTGCATTGCCTGTTGCCCAACCTACAAATAATGTCGAAGTACCAACCAATCGGGCGCGAAGCTTTCTGCTAACTCGACGATGCCGAAACTTCCACTTACCTAAATCTTAACACTGCGCTACAAACTCTCCTGATTTTGTCAGCATTGAAGCGGTCACTGACTATTTTTCTCAGTTCTCTATAATACGGATACACATATGTAATTATAAGGCCAGATTCGAATCAGTACATCCAGATTGTCTACGTACGTTGTCTACCATTGTATTCCGTATATCGAATCGCTCGTTTATCTTAAAGGCAAAGCAGGGCGCTACTGCCCTGCGTCATAAAAATTCTTCGTTCTCTTCCTTATTCTAGTTTTTTTTTGACGGGTTTCCGGTGACAGCTCCGGCATCAGTGCAAACTGGATGGAACTTCTATGCCTAACATGTCTAGCAAAAACCGTGCCCTGGTCCACCTGTAAACATCACTCACTTTCTGATAATAAAAACTGATAAAAAGCGACGATAGATAATCGCATGCAAAGCAATAAGGACCCATCATTTGTTCTCTACTAAATTCGTGCAAGTGATATTAGGTAGAGACGTATCGAAAGTACGGTTTATCCATTTCGTTTTCATCTTTTTAGTAAAGTAGCTGAGATCCCTAATAATGAACTATGATAGATAATTACTAATAATAATAATAATAATAATATAGTAGAAAAAAATTAGCTGGGTTCCGCGTAGAACATCTTCACTTTTGGTACTCACACCGTTCACGCGCTCTGTTACCGTCAATGACAAAACGCATTGCAGCGTTCAGAGTAGGAATGACAACTATGGGTTGGTAGATGAGCAGTGGTCGACGAGCTGTCAGAGTACACGCCGTAGTTGAGAAAGCGCTTTTTCCCTATGGGCTAAAGTTAAGTTTTTTGCGGTTAAAATCCAAGCATGTACGAAATGACCGCCGGTGTCACTCTACGTTGGCCATTTTCTCACAACCGAACTATAGGTAAACGGTACAACTGATCGAGTAAGACAAGTTGGACCTGACGACAGTGTCGCGCGCTTAAAGCTTAAACACTAAGCAGTTCAAGAAGAACGCCTCTCAAAAGAGCCGAGAACCATAGCAACTATGTTCCCGTACCGCCTGGATCTAAATACTAGCTTCCGAATCGCGAGACGTCCTATCTGGTAGTGCATCTGTCTTTCACTAGTCGCCTCAAAGCGAACCTGAAGAAGGCCAGTAGTCGTGTGTCTCCTGACATTAACAAATTACCCAGAGTACTGTCAGTAAAAAGGACTTCTTTAAGCGTCAACTTTATTGTCAATACAAGATGAAAACTACTTGGCTGCCCATGGCAGATCTCTCCTGTAGGCCGTGTTTGTAACAGGCGTTAAATAGACGAGGAAGCTTATACGTTGCATTATATAACGGTACCTACAATAACGTAAACTTTGCATAATGTTTAGTAAACGCGTAGAGATTCGTTCCGTTCTTTCGGGAAAAAGAACCTTCTTTAAAAGCAGTAGAGGCTCTAAGCTAACGAAAGTCTAAACAATTCAAGTATAGATAAACATTCGATTATGTTTTAATTTGACGCCTTACTGTTACAAATTCCCGTTAGAAGTTCGAATATCGGTTTACTTATGCGGATGGTAGGGCAAGCAGCGTCCCTAAGCGGCACTGAGAGGAATATTGAATACAACTGCTATGTGAATAAAGAAAAGAGATTCAGAACGACTCTACTTGGTGGCCTCGCGGTGGTCGCGCACATATCCTCTTTCTTTTGGCATTCAATAAGACAAATTTGAAAAGTTCCTCATCCAAGTATATAACAAAGGCCATGCACAGAGTTTGGGTTCGCGCGTGCCCTGCAAATATCCTTCGGTCGCAACAACAGCCAAGAAAATTTTGTCTAGAGTTAAATATAGAAATTCTACATTGTTTAGTACAATGCAGCGATACACAGGCAGTGCATCTAAAACCTCGACCTATAGTTTTTCAATTTTTAACGCTTTTTTCTATCGTATAATAGAAGCATCTGCATGTATTTTTATTCAACGTTTCTTACTTTTTATCTAACGTTTCTTTCTGGCATAACAAACGAGTGAATGAAAAAAAATCCCAGTTACAAAACTCGAAGGAAGCTAAAGAGCACTTTTCATATTATTAGTATACGTACCGGCTTATCACCAGCATGCTCTGGAAGGTACTAGCTGTTAATCAAGCTCAATCATTTGTTTGTCAGATTTATTCATCGCTAACGTCTACCCATTCATTATACGAGCTTAGCGGCATGCATCGAATAACCACTGGTTGATAGAACTAACCAGAAACTCGGCGCCAGAAAGAAAACATTTAACAGTTATTCAAAATGCAATATGTGTTTACTCGCATATGCAGATTATAATGCGGTTGGGTGATGGACAACCGTAGAGATACACGACACATCAATGATGCGTTCTTTTTTTCTTATCTAGACTCGAAGAAAAGTAGTAACTGCGTGTAGGTAAAGATGAGAACAAACGAGTGTGAGCAAAATGTCTTGAAGATTCATCCAGGCCTCCAAGTGTCGATTGCGAACGGCTGTGAAATGCATATAAGGAACTGGCAATAAACAAACTTGCCTCTTGTTCGGCATTCGGGTTCAGATACTTGGGAGCCAAAACTCGCCAGAAGCAAACGGGCGTCGCTGACATTGCGCGACTCGCGAGGCGTGAGTTATGAAATAAATATTATAGCGTTTAACTTGCCCAAGTTAGGGAACCATCGCGAATCTACTTCAGCCAAACAATATGGAAAATTGTTTCACTGTTATACTGCTTGATAACGTGACACTTTTTCTAAATGCTTGAAGAGGCAACACGTCGATCTCGTTTATGGAGGCCAGGTCTCACCTGTAAATATCTGTCATGGTAGTAAGAGATTTTAGCCACCTTACGCTAATTATAACTAAACACACACACTTTTCTTTGTCCCGAATATTGTATCGGTATCTGTTTTAATTCAAGTAATACTATAATACTTCGACTATTCTTCTATTGTATAATACACAACGCTGTGTTTACCATTTATAATACACAACCGTTTATTTACAGAACTGCATTTTTGACTATATCCAAGCTCCCTTAAAAGTAATGGAAAAGAAATGTCACTTTGCATATAGTATAATAGCAGAAACACCTGCAGGCGTGACATTTTATCTATGGAAAATAGTTTGTTCAAGGTACCCAGTCATCCAGGAAGGCTCTATGGCTCCTGCCAAGTGCTACCTTCAAAACATAATCCAGGACGATCCGAACCCTACAAGATATTCTCAACCTTTTCACATTAAGAGTGTACAAAATAATACAGACAGCAATGGCACCTTATTAACAATATGAAGAACTTCACTTGCGGCAGCACTCTCTCTGCTAGTCTTCAGTTCGGCAATAATAGTAGAGCATTTAGACGTTTGAGCAATAAAGCAAGTCCATCATTTTGATGTCCCTCGTTGTTGTTGTTTTGATTCTTGGGCATACAAGTGTCAATTAAATTATTGATCCCAAATCATCTAATGCTCTGGAACAATGGAAGCCGAGCTCTACCAAGTGGTACATGTTGCGCATTGACCATTCCGAGGCGAGAAGAACAGTATAGACTCCGTTTTATTAATATGAATAAGAAAACGAAATATCCTGAAAGCTTCAATAGATTCCATGACATGCACAGGAGCTACTTGTATTTTTCAGGCGACCCTGACAGGTTCGATATGAAAAACCATCGAAGTGTCACTCACGGAAGCGATAGTATTACAGATAATTATTGGCCAATATTTTAAGCGGAATGTAATTTGAAAAGCAGATGATCATGTAAAACCTGGAAACCGAATCTTGAAATGATCGTAAAAAATCTTATTCCTATGAAGGCCTAATTCGACGAATGTTAAGTGCCTGCTGACTTTTTGCAGAGGGAAATAATCTGGACTAATCAATTGTCACTGGTGTGCACCCCACTCATTCTAATCTTTGCGCGAAATTCGACAGGCCTAAGCCGTTGAAAGCAGCTACAACACTTGGAAGTATAACAAGGCAGGGCTGTTTATTTTTGATCGCGTTGGTAATCTCCTGCTAAAAGCGTGTTAGTACTGGCAAACTGACCATGACTTCCAAAAACTAACGTGGGTGAATAAAGAAAATTCAGCTGTGAACATACACCTTTGACATACACTTACAGACCAAATTCAACGATTGGCTGTTGAATAATATTTTTTTTAAATAAAAAATCCAGCTATGGTAGTTTTTTTTCCGTAATTTCTAAATGCGTGCTAAAGTCATTTGTTTATTTATTTTTTATTAATCCCGCCTACGATATATTCTACGCTTATTTTCTACATATATGGACTCGAATAAAGAAACTATATATGTTTGAGAATAATATGTAAATACTAATGCACATATATATGTATATATAAATATATATATATATTTTTTTTGAGAATGCAAATAATTTGTTTGCCGATATTTCAAACGCAGCTAGGGTATAAGTGCCCTAGCCTCTAGTCGATATGTTGTCAATCTGGACGATCCAGTCCCTTATAACGTACAAGTGACGAAACTCGCCCCCGAACAAATCTGTGAAACTCATTGAAAAATTAAATTTGAAAATTTAGCTGTTCGAGTACGAGGCCGGAAACGCAGACTGGGGCAACCGTTAGTATTGAAGTGGCGTTGAAAGGTAGTCTGCATGGTCGCCCGCTTCGAAGCAAGGACTGGAAGAGAGGATTTAGCCATGAAGCGTTATCAAAAAAAGCTTAGCGGAATGGAGATCAGATGTGTGTCATACAGGATATCGCACGAGGATCGCCAGACTATAAATACTCGACGAAAGAATGATGTTGAGGATGTTGTACGACGATAGATGGGAGTGTGAAAACGCGAAAATCGTCAGATGACTGTGATGACGTGTGTTCAGATGACAGTGCTCAGATTACGGAAGTGGTCAGTCGGAGCAGGGATATGAAGCGATTAGCATATTGGGCTGCAAAAGACGTAGCCACGGGAAAGAAAGCACTAAAATGCCTAGAATTAGGCACCGTACCGATTATACTATACATCTATTTCTATGAAGAGATTGAACGCTGAAACATCAAAAATGCTGTTAGGATAATGAATACATTTAAAGCCGTTTAGAACAAATGAATAAATTGGATTTTACGTACGGTACTGCAGTTATCATTATACTATATTAATTCAAATGGTTGAGCCAACACAAAACGAACTACATATTGAATCTAAGCTACCTTAGGCGTCTTCAAATTTAGTAGGAAAACACGTTAGTACTGTACCATTATGGGGACACTATCCGTGGTGATTGGTCAAGCAAAAGTTAACAAATTTCGCATAATTTAGAATTTAAAGAAAACTGAGTAATTGCCTGGCCACGCGAAACCAATTACGGAACGATACAGCTTAAGAGTTGCACAAAAAAGACAAATCTTTTGATCCAACATGTTCCTAGTGTATCATGCGTAAATCAATACATTAAGTTTATTGTTCACGGTGTCTATCAACTAGCAAACGAATCGTTGCGGCCCTTACACCCTAAACCACACCACTGCGACTACTCGATTACGTTGAACACAATGGAAACAATTAGTTCAGTGGCGATACGCAGAATGTGAAGTAAAGTCCGTTTGTATTATCATCAGAAAAGATTCAGTCAAGCTACAAATGTGCATTATTGATCCTTATACATACAGAACAATCAATAAATAAAATAAGAGTACCATACCACGAGATGGTGCATAGAGTCAGAGTTGCTATTTTGCCTGCAGCCGTATATATAGTGTTAAAATTTGAGAACAGAGCTTACGTAACTGGCAAATCGATCCATTGACGATACGTTTTGTAGCGCCGGCATCATGAGGATCGACGTACATGATAAGCGTCTTTCCGATCGATATCGAAGCGTTGCCCTAAAAACGTCTTCAAGCTCAGGCGAAATTTCTCGTTTTGGCCGCACTGGTGGGTGGACAATGATAAGCTTCATTATAGCGTCCTTAGCTTCTCCTCCATTAAGTAGATCCATGTAAGGTGGTTCACCGTCTATGAGTTCGATAAACAGTATGCCCAGAGACCAAATATCGGCTCGAAACGTATACGGCTTGCATTGAATCATTTCTGGTGACATCCATAAACAGGTGCCTATAGTCGATTCGAACTCCTCGTCGCGATAGGCAAACCGGCAGCTGAGACCGAAATCGGCAATTTTTACTTTACCGTTTCTCGATAGAAGTATATTATCGGATTTGAGATCTCGATGGACTACGCCTTTTTGATGAAGGAATGCCATTCCTGTAAGTACTTCACGCATAACGAACGTAGCCATTTTCTCAGGCAAACTATTTGCCGGATAGACCAGGTTCAACAGATTGTAGAGCGATGTTTCCATGTACTCCATAACGAGAAACGGGACACGAACCGAAATACTTAGGTTGTTGCTAAGTTTACTATCTTCATCAATTGGAAACGCCATATGGCATGCAATAAGCGATACAACGTTCGGGTGCTTGCATATCCTTAGGGCTAATAGCTCATTCAAAAAAAGCGAAGGCAGCTTTGATACGTAGTGTGGATCGCATTGTTTGATGGCTACATCCTTCCCGTTATCCCGTTCTTTCGCGGAAAACACCGTTCCATAGCCGCCCCCGCCGATGATTTCCTGAATTTCATATTTGCTTACAGGTTCACCCGGCTCACTGAGAACCTCGAGCGCCTTCCGAGCCTGTTGGGGGTCTGGTGGACATTTTTTAAGATCAGGATAAACATAAATAGATTTCCGCTTGGCCCGGTAAGAAATCGAATTTTTTGACTCGTTGTGAATAGGACCAAATAGGTTTTCGTTGTTCTTTTGTTGCTCCTGCTGCAAAAGATTCCATCGGTCCATCCAAGGCTTTGGTAGCCCGAGCAGGCCTTGCGTTTTATGCCATACACAATGGACGGTGCGCACGGCCTTACTGGGTCGCCCAATGTCATCTGGCGTAAGAAATCTAGAACCACGTCCTGCTAACGACTGCGGCCAGAGTGCACCAACAAGCCTGTTTCTTAATGCCTTGGTAGGCATCTTGAACGACACTCCTATTCAACAATGACAAAACACAAAATTAACTGTTGCAAGCCCTATTGAACGATAAACGATCTAGATAAAACTGTCAATCCAGTTAATCACGAGATTGTTTGTTTGGTTTGGCTAATTGTACCTATATTAATCAGGTACGTGTTGTCGTTAGTGTACGTCGATTCACGCATAGACATTAACTATGTAGGCTCACAAAATTGTTCGGCAGCACGTTACATTGCATGAAATGCCACGCATGCATGAAGACGCGAACAGTAACAATAGCTGAGGGGCGACTTTAGGTAGACTGCAGCGCACCGTGCTGGATATCGTTGTGTACGCGTTGCCAATTAACTGAAATACACAGTATATGCTACAGAAAACATGGTCGTTCGGCTGCAACAAAAGTGAATGGGAAACTTGATTCAAATCAATGCAGAGCCTATTTGGGGTATGGTTCGTTGAATGCTTTCACACGAAGGGCAGCATACGCTACATTTAACGTGTGTGTTTATTTCAGTTAAGTTGATCCATCTTTGCTTGCTAGACACTTCACAGCAAATTTAGTCGGCTTCGTAAGCGATGCGCTATACGATGCCATTGAAAAAGCTGTTTTTCAATTTTAGGCTTCGTTTACTATATTCTTGTATATAATAGTAACAATAATAGCATGTTCTGTGTCGCTTATTACCTACATTCAAGAGGTCTGAGGGCAGTTTGTCTATACACAGTTCATTAAGCGGCATGAATGAAATGAGCTTGGTAAGTGTAGAGCCAAACGAACACGTTAGGCAAATGACAAAGCTTCAATTAGGTCCTCTATATGGATTAGCTAAAAAATAACCACATTTATGTGTTACATACACAACGCTACATGTGTGATGGTACACAGGGTGCTACTGCAAACGCCTATTTTTAATTATTTTTATCGTTAATCCAATTAGTTAACAGAAAACTAAAAATATATGTAATGAACTAAAGTTATTTTGGGATAAGTTTTTGATCCATTCTACATGACAAGGAATGTACCACAAAAAATTCGAATATGAGAGTTCCGCTTTACCTCAATCGTGTCTGTTAAATATCAAAGCTAATACCAATTCCGTTTAGGGACAAAGATATGCACAGGTATCCTGCTTATGTAAAAACAAAAATAATAAAACATTTAGAGATATATTAAAGTCGATTTTTCAACATATAAATGTTGCTAGTCAGTAATGAAACGCACTACTTTGTCGTGTTACCTTCATACACACGGCGGAAAGCAGCCAGATACATAGTTACCTTGTAACATTAATTAGAAATGGCCTATTGAGCCAATGTGAGCCAACCAAATGTGTGCGCTCCACAGCCGTGGAACTGAAGCTCCAAAGACAAGCAATAAAGTCTTGTGTGTGCAAGCAACTCTTGAGCTACTGCAGATTTAGAAGGTCGAAAGTTTGTACGTCTATTTTAAATTCTCATTTGGTACATCTCTATATGGACCATTTATTAGAGACGGAGAGACAGTGCTTCCATAAAACGGGCAACGAACAAGTGATGATTTGCCAAAAGAAATTTAAGAAATTGCGAAGGATTGTGGAGATTACAGATAATATAAGGGAAAAGGAAAAAATATACGCTTATAGTTAGTTAAGACATAACTCTGTGGTTAGCGAGGGTCGGCCTTTAGTTAGAATAATGGTTTTTAAACTTAGTTACTTTTGTTTGAAAACTGTGAATCCGTTGGTATCCTAATTGTAGGCATATAGTCGGTCCCTTCTCCTCTTTGCAACAGACAGTGAGTTTTCCAGCAAATATTTTTAAGGATAAATCTGTTTTGTGAGAGTATTGCAATTAGTTCTCAGATATGCATACATGGTATACAGTGAGTATAATAACTTAGTGGACGCTCAAATCACCATTTTTGACGGCACGTGGCTTCTTCCACATATCACGGACATGCAGTGTTATCGAAATCACAGCCTGTCTCATGTTCTGATTATATCGAAACAAGCTAATTTCTACGTACATTAAGTAACCAATTTCGCATTGCTGGTCTGTTACTTTAAACGAGTAATTCAAGTAGATACACAATTCATAGAAATAGCTACTGCTTTCTAACGTGTACAACTGTTTTTGATCGAAGCAAGGTCGCTAATTTAGGTTCATTTATTTTTCTGCTGGTTCTGTCTGTTCCTCTAGTCAGTATATCCTCATTATTATGGACTCTCAAACAATATAGTTTTTTTTATATCTAACGCCACGGGTGTCTAGCTCGCCAAATCTCGGGTAGAATTTAGAATGCCTTTTGACTTTTATAGATGACAAGTTTAAAGGTTGTTCCCTATCACCCGAGTAGTATATTCGACAAACAGCTGTGTTCTGTGATAGAATCACAGTTTCTCTTTGCCGTCAGTGTCCATTGCGGATGAGAATCACAAGACTTCTTCTCCGGATCATGATTAAACGTCTCTTACGAAAACGCTCAGTATGATTACATTATTCGTTTTGGAGCTACCTTACAGTGGGTCTCGAATAGTATCCCCATTTATCGGTTGGTCACCATATAGCCCCGTTTGTCTTGAACAGGTGCAAAGGGTTTGATCATTCTCATTTGATACTACTTTCGGGCAGTAAATTTATAAAAAAAGAAGCATAACTAAGCATCTGTTGAGTACTGTGTTTTTCTAAATAGTAATAACACAAACAGTTTGTATGATGCATTGGCTTTTATTATTAGAGACAATTCAAAGACCAGATTTTCGTCATAGCTGACATGTAAAATACTATATGTGTTATAAATATTAACGATTTTTTTTAACCAAAAAACAGTTTTGCTCGTCAATGTCTATCATGCATAGTCTCTTAATGTTATCAATCACAAGCCAAGCAAAATCTGAGAAGAAATTTTAACTTGTTTATAGCCTGCCGATGGCGCCTATATTCGAGTCTATCCATGTAGTAACTAAAAACAATGCATTGAAAACAAAAAAAAAAAAGAGAAATATGTTATTTTCACAAGGTAAGTCCACCAGTACAAAATTAACATTAATTAGTTCATGCCCGTTTCATTTTGCTCGACATCTTCTCGGATATTCGTGGCGCAATTTAAAGCTTCATCTTGTTGATCTTTCCCTGGCTGGCTCTCTAAATTTAAATTCGATACAGGCGCATCTAAACACTGAGCAGTCGATTGCTCAACCCCACCGGTAGCGGGTTTTGCGCTAGGCTCTTCGAAGTCCAGAATAATTTCTTCTGGGTCTGGTGCTCTTGGCAGAAACTTCTCCTCTGGGAACATACTATAAAAGACGTGCTGTGCCTGATCGATGTGGAAGTCGTAATCCAAGTGAAGACCAGGTGATGCCATTGTGAATAGATTGTGGATGTCACCAGAAATCGAGTAAGCTTTGCTTGCAGTATCTGGCGTATTGAAGTACGCTACCCACACCTGCTTGTCGTATGGGTAAAGCTGATCAACTACCGGTTTGAGATCCTCTTGCGCTGTGGCTAATTCACCTTTTCGGCAAGATAAATGCGCAACAACGAGGCCTTTTGGACAGACCATCATTCCTGGACCTTGCTCGATGACAGTGACAGCTTGCCGCGTTCCCTCAGGAGGCACGCGTAATAGCGTGATTTGCTCTTTTTCAAGAGGAAGCATCGATTCACAAGCAATCACTATTCCTCTTGAAACATACTCGATGCTTTCTGCCATCGGTTGAGGTGACGTATCCAGATTGGCGATGACATGGCTAGCTGTAAATGTTTTTCCCTGGGAGATTACTCCCACGATCCTATTGTCATTGTTATTAACCAGAAAGCCGTCGGTTTTCCTTTCTAAATGGTAAATACCACCGAACACCGCGCATAATCTACAGAAGCACTGAGGCAGCTCGCCACAACCATAAATCGGACATAAAAACGGGCTGTTGCCGTAACGACCAAGTGACTGAAGAAATTTTTTCGCATTGGCCAGGGCCAGACTTGTCCGCGTGCTTTCATCACACATCGCTATTGAGTTAACGATAAAGTGGCGTAAGTTATCGGTCAGATGAAGTTCTTTCTGCTCCAGAAAGTTACTGAAAGGTTTGTCTAACCAGTCCGCAAATATTTCTTGCTTTTCAAAATCTTGAATCGCAGTCATCAATTTCATGAGTGCCCGCTTCTCGACGACGTTCACACTTTTTGTTGCAAACACGTCCGCGCGAGAACACGGGACCTGTTCGAGGGTACCGTTCTTAAGTGTTAGCACACGCGAAACGAGCTTGAATTCGGCATACTTTGCAATATTTGATGAGATTAACAGTTCTACCATTTTGCCCCGAGCAAAGAGTAGACGGGGTGCAAGATCCAAGTTAAATTTACGGGAATCCTTCCGCAAACAGTCCTCTGTCCATCCGCAGCCTTCTGGTATTCGCAGTTCTACACAGACATTCGAAAATAAGGGTACTTGTCTTGCCGGCACAAAATGCTGACCTTTAGGAATACTTCTGTCAAGCGGCACGCTGTTATCCGTCTCTTTGGTAGCATTGGCTTGATTGTCAAGAGCCTCATTGAGGTCGTTGAAGCTGAAGGCGGCAAAGTGCGCTCCGTAATGGGATCGATTATCAAAATGGAGGACACTTTTGCCGATCCGCGAGCAAGCGGCCGCGACAATCGATTCGCCAAGACCGGTGCCAAGGACGATGAGATCGGCTGATGACGGAAGGTCGTCCATCTCTCTACTGCGGCCTGGCTGAAACGACAGTAGGAGTTAAACATGTACTGTTAACAACGGCTGCTCTTCTCTGTATAATCAGGCCGGAAATCAGCAAGACTTAACAACGTATCTCAACATATCGTAGAAGAGAAAATGTTAACAGGTTGCTCATTTTCCAAATAATAAGTATATATCATCATTACTGGCCTTGCCGTGCGAGGAGTATTAATCAACTTTTATTAAAAAAAGAAAGCAAATCTCTGTAATACAAGATATTGATCGATATATGTTAGATATTTGTAGGGAATATATATACTTTTTGGATGCACGCATGTATTACATATATGAAGCACATAAGCCCTCAACACATCTTTTTTCATAGTTCTTGCAACACATTATTATTATGTGGTTATTCAAAGTGATCGAGTTCACTGTGCCATTCATGGCTCTAAGTGTTTCACAATTGAAAAATTCCGTATTACCCACACCGCTATATTAAAATGAAATACAATAGACAGTACATGAGTTAAAATTTGGAAGAATATGCATTCACATATACGCTGAAAGCGATTTTTCTTGTCCCAACTAATTAAATAACGTTAACCTACCCGTACTCATTAGACGCCCATCGCTTTGCAAAAATATTTTTTCAATCGGCTACTTCGCTGCGACAACACAACACTGACATGGTTATAGGAAATACGACCATTCGCGTATGTTCGGCTGCCTAAAGGAAATTTCACACAATAGCCATCTGGACATATATTGATACAGTTACACATATGTAAACAGTATTTCCACAATAATATAAATAAAAACGAAAAACCATGCAAGTAGACGGCTCGAAGGCTTCTTTTTTGGCTTAATTGACTGGCATGAGCTCATTAGTGATATCAGGAAAACTCGCGTGGCTATATTCCCCAGATTGTTGAAAGAAATGACACTTTGGTCTCTAAAATAAGGCGAAATTTTTCGTTGTATCATTAGAAACTGATAGACGAATTACGAAGAAACATTGCCGGCCTACCTATCTCATTGGCAACACCGAGAACGACGTATAATATTCACACACGACGGTAACACTCAGGTCTCGCATACAGATCAAGCAGAACATTTACAAAAATGAATACGACCCACACTGTCACGCCGTTTCGTTGTCTGCCCACTTGTTCGCCCTCTCGTACACCAACACCTAACCACAGTCCCACAGACAAGCAACGAAAGACGTATTGGCTCACCAGCTGACTCATATTTGTTTACATTTTAAAACGTCCGCGATCGCGCAACAATGGCGCCAAATTTGAACATGTTCGAGCATGTCAGTGTTATAATTGTTATAAAAATGTTGCACCTACATATAATTCGGTTTAATATACACTAGATAAAATATTGTACCTTAACATTCTATTTTTAGGTCCGAATCCGCTTAAAGCTGTAGTATATCACGCCAGGTGTACTTGTGTTTCAATAACATCTCCCATGAGTAAGCGTTCACTCTCTTTTCTTTAATTAGCTAGTATTTGAAATAGAATATATTACAACGTTAATACTAGGCAAGCGTGGTAGTAGCAAAAATAAAAGCTGATCTAACGATTTTCTAATTGTTTATTTCCCACTGTCGGGATGTATGTGAACAAATAATCGGTTTAAATAAACAAAACACATCGAAAACCTATGACATCTAAACCGCTTATTTTGAATCGGTATTGAAAAAAGGATGGTGAAATCACGCTTGAACATAACAAAGCCTTTGTTTACTATCCGGTATAAATCCGGCATTATTAGTATTATTTGTATTTCGATAATAGAAGCATGAGCGCCATTATGATAAGTAGTTTCATAGCAAATCATGCAATTCAACGAATTTAATTTTAATTAACTTGGTATGAAACCTAGGTGAAGTTTCTAGGTTCTACCACGCTTTTGAACATGAAAAAGACGTTTAAATTTTAGGACTATATATAGATATTGCTCTAAACTCTGCCACTGTCCAGTCAGTGAAATAAATAGGAAGACTTCGCTTAATTTAAATGTAAATAAACACTGACGGGTTTTTTTTCTTTATTTTAAGCTAAGTCAGCGTAATTTCGGTAAGAAGTACCAATTATCATCCACAATCGGCATTTAATGGCTTTCTTCACGAATAAACATTCTTTGGTCTAACATATTATTTCAAACCTATATTGCCTGTAAGAACTAACATTTCTGTGCGTAAATTTATGACCGATTCATTTAAAATGCTTTGTTTAAGATTGTCCATTGCGAACTTAAACTCTATTCACTCCAACGTATGAGGAAGCACAATCAAATCTAGTTTTGTAGAAACACTACTATAATACGGGTTTTTCTGAACGCCACACAGAAAGTACTGATAAGATACAGAACTCACAAAATTAGAATTGAGATTTTATGCACTGAGACCTAGTGGTTCTTGTAATTCGATCAGGCCTGAATACGGTCGCATTTTCAGTCCATTCTGTATGTAAAATGCGTCCGACAGGTGACCAAGCTTTGCGGTACACGCTGGCTGAGGTCTTCACTAATGAAGCTTTTAGATATGGACCACGACAATATACCCTAGTAGCGCCCCGCCGCAGACTCGATTTATTATTATTAGGCAGTGTCCACTTTATGTTAGGTGTGCTTAACCCCCCTCAATTACTCGCATCGTATTTTGATTGGATAGGTTCTTTAAGCGATACCAAAGAGCGGTGCCGAAGCCTGATGTTGAAGGGACAACTGAAAGTCTGCTCTGACAGAAAAACGGTACTTTTATGAAAAAACTTTATGTGAACTTTCGAAACAATTACTTTTGGAACTGATAGAAATGGAGCTGGAATAAAGTACCAATATATGTATTACCATTTTTTTAAATTTTATTTTTCACTTTGATAGTGTTGCTTTTAATAGTAAGTGTAAGGTCTTTTTTTTACTACGCAACCGAAACAATATTTACGTAAGCCACGAAGTTATGTAAATTATAAACAGCACCGCATTAACACGCCTTATATTGTCTATTGCCGGGTATATAAATGCCAAAGAAGCTTGATGCATTGAAAGACAAGCTTTCAGAAAATCTTTTCTTCTCTCTAAAAAAAGAATATGTTCAAAACACCATAAGTTTTTGAGGTATAGACAGTTCGTAGCTGGTTTTCAAGTATAACATGTGAAATATCTATATAGAAATTGGTTATCTTTTGTGACTCGTAGCTTGCTGTTTCGCGAATGTTCATCCGAGACCTGTATTGCTACGAGAAGCCTCGTTCAAGAGATGATGCACACAAACGTATAGCATAGCTAAAACACCGATCATTTTCGTAATTTAGGCAAAGATCAGTTCTTTTTAGGCGAGACAGATCAGCGTGAAAATCAAAAACATCCTTTCTGTTTGAAATCAACTGTCCTTGTCGCGACCTATTTCCATTTAGCTTCCGAGACCTTTCAGCTTAACGAAGATTTCCACGAGGTAAATGGGAATATTCTCTATAGGTGCGATGTAAAACACTTGAAACCTCATAAAAAATTGCAACAGGTAATGTTTGACGATCTTGCACTTTTTTTCATGTATTAGTGGTTCTTTTTTTAAGGGAAATCACCAATTCGGTCATCCTAATGAGCTACAACTCTTAGTCGTTTTACACAATTTAGATCTTTCAGCCATTTTGAGTCCTTGTTTACACATGAATATATACTGCCGTTAAGCACCGTTTCAGTCGGCTGGCTCTTTGCACGGATCAAGACTGGTTTACGCTCGAACACGACGAGATTTCAAGTTGTGGTGTACTATAGCGGGGACAATGAGGTTGTCCTAATGCGGTCGAAATTGATTTGCGAACGACTCTCCAAATACAGAAGTTGCTCCACATTTAAAACCGAATTACTTGAGAATACAACTACGAAGAGTGTCGAAACGTTAGCAGCCTTCTTGCAATGCCAAAGGACGACCTGATTCATAATCTACAAGTCTCAATAGAAAGACATTTCGAGTGACTTAGGCCAGACTTAGGCTAGATGACGCAGGGCTAATTCCAAATCCGCATGCAATAAGACAAAGCGCGTCGGAAGATGGCAGGGAACCCGAAAGGTTACAGCAACAAACTGAATCGGATGCCACCCTCTACCCCTTTAATGCGTCGTGTTATTAAACAAAGTTTCGGGTTAACAAAGACAAAGGATGAAAAAAACAGCTCTCAAGGCTTTCAAATCATCTAACCTTTAAAGCGTTAGTGGATAAATTCACGGTCTACAAACATCAAAAATGTGAGTCGTACACAGTTCTATCCGTTCGTTTTTAAAAATTTCCTTCTCGACAGAAAGAGCCGACCTAGACTTACTTCTATCCTTCGGTAATAAACTGGGTAATTGGAAATGCGATCCATATTGTAGTTTCCATCTCTGCTCGATCCTTTCAACTTGCTTAAATATAGCCTTCGTTTTGATAGACCCGAATGCGTTGTAAAGGATAACTTCAAGTTTGCTACAGAAAATATGATTTACCTGTAAATTAAACAGATAAGTGCACAAAAAATGTATGTGCATGAACTTACATGCGCATTGTGTTTAAAAGAGAGGAGACGGTACTGTTGTTATAATGAGTAAGTCAAATGGTCGGTTTTTTTATTAATTACCAGATAGAGGGTATTTATTTAAGCAGTTGTTCGAAATGCAGGGCAAGTCTTCCTTCTGTTATCTTTCTTGACCCCCTAAACAACCATCTTAAATCTTATTCTTTGGTGAGTTGTCTACTAATCTAACGAATTTAGTAATGTAGTAACCAGACTGTGGCCCTAGTGGTACATGGCTTTGTTTTACAACACAGATAATGAAAAAAAAATTGAATATAGTTACAATAATTATTTCAACAACAATCTTCTACAATTTCTGCAATTTTTTGTGTCCAACCATTTTTTGAAGAGGACCGATTGTGGATAGGATGCTTTGGTTCACTAAAGCAGAAAATTATGACGAAAAAGTTGTTTGCATTCATGTCATTTTTAGCAAAGATTAATTTCACAGTCCACGTATATCACCGTACGCAATTAGAACTCGCAATTAGATCTACGAGGTTTCCATTGTAACCGAAAATGTTTAATTGCACACTCTATCGTACACCACTAAGCACATTTCTAGTGTAGATCTTTTAATAAATAGACCTCATAAAAACAGTCGTATACCCCACTGCTTATAATATGTGCCGGCGCAGTAATATTGGTTCAAACAAGCTATTATAGAACATAGTGGGCGGTAGAAGATAATTTGTCTCCAATTAGATACTTGAAATGATTGGAGATAAAAGATCGAAATAGTACGACGGCTGGATCCCGAACTGTAGGCCCTTGATTTGCTAAACGAATGCTGTTACCGCCTATAGGTACCCCTACCGGTATCGCAAACCTCAGTTGGAAAAGTGCACGAGATTTTACACCACAGCTTGTTCTATACATGTCATATTAATATAGCTATGACAGATGGTAATCTATTTTTATATCGCATAGAGTAGTATTAGCAGAGTTAAAATGTTTACCTTAGATTCATAAACCACTGGCGGACATACCCCCTCCCTTTGCCACCCCCATAAAAAATCTGATAAGGTCAGCGGGTTGGATTAATCTCAGGTTGAGTTATCTGAGAATTCGCATGCACAGCCATGAAACATTCATTATTTTTATGGACGGTTCATTCTATGAATTTTTAATCGAATTTATAGAAACTTAATCATTCTTAATGTTTTGCAAAAGTTTCTTGTTTTTTCTCCATCAAACGATTCCCCATATTCAGCTGACTGAATTAGAAGATAGAACTGTTCATTATTGTTGTTTTTATTTTCAAAACTTTTAACATTGTAACAAACTTTTCGAGCGGCCTGAAAGTAATTTAACGCTTACCATTTGAACTTCTATGACTTAAGTATCGCCCAGTCGGTGTTTAGCAGCCTCAGCCCTTTTACAGAAAAGTACACGGATTTATGTCCACATTCTATAGATAGAAAGTAAGATCATCTACATTGATATCTGGCATTTGAAACGGTTCAATAGAGCGTCGTTCGTCGACGCCATTACGGACGCCGCCGTAATGGCTGACTGTGTCCACCAAAATGTTCAGTCTCAACTCTCATAGGTTCGATATCACGAACGGAGACATTGCCGTGACAAGGTCGTCTGTGTTTTGTAACGGAAGTGCCCAAAGGAAGAGCTGGTTCAGTATACGGATAGTGTTTCGTTTCTGTATATTTTTGCCTACTAGATAAGTTTCGATTATATTACTTACTACTGCTTTTAAAATCGATAATTATTATATATAATTTTGATCGCAATATAGCTAATAAGGGAGCAAAAGAGAATATATACTTTGATACATTTTGTTCTGTTCTCTTATCATGATTATTGGAAAGCAGCGTTTTCATTTAATAAAGCGCTAAGCCCTTATCGATATTCAACAAAATATCTCAAGTGAGCATCAACATGAAATTGTCGAATGTCGATACGCGTTTATCTCACACACTATGATCTCGGATTCAAACCTTTTTTACGAATCCACCTTTTATCTGCCGTAGTGCATTATTTTCTTAAATCCGCTCTCATGCTTCTATTTGAGCGCGACTCTAGACCAGCCCAGCTACGTTTTGCAAAAAATAAGGCCAGAACACTTGAAAAAAGTGATCGCTAACCAGAGGCACGCTATCTGAGATGAAAACAGAACATTCACCCAATATCATTCATACGGCCGACAACGCCAGTATCCTCCATAACCTCCTCCTGATGTATTGTACGTTCATCATATTTTGCAAGGTTACCCCCAATGGCTGTACAGGGAATTGTTTTTATTCTGAAGCATCGAGATGAGCTAGAAAATTAGCAACTTCGTTTTTCTCCGCTTTTGCGTCTCACCCACATTCTGCTCGGGCTGTTTGCCCCTCCGCCCACGTCCTTTATCAGGTTTATCGTAGATGCAAGTAACGAAAAGTAGAGGGGATGGTAAAGTAAAAACACAACGCAGACCAGGTTAGAGGAAATAAAATTAAACGAATTCCAATCATACTCTTCGACATACTGCTATTCGTTCACTATTGCCATTGTGCGTTTCTATTTGGCCTGTTTCGCCTACATATGCCATCGCCAAGCAAGGACTTGCAAGGCAGACACTTGGATTATGTTGCATCAGGGGACCGCCGGCAGACTACCAGCTTACCTTTATTTGTATCCGTCTGTTTTCTGAGTCCACCCGTTCTGCTTTGCTTTCCTGGTTGGGCTGGGTCTGCCGAATGATTGCCTCGATTTCGTGTTCTTTCCATTTGGATTTTGGCGGTAGTAGCGGCGTCGGGAGTCAGCTGGTGTCGCCTTTGTGGCCGCGCGCCGTATGTTTGATAGAAAACGAATCCAATACAGTCTCCTAGGAGCAGAAGTATTGAGCAACAACGCGGAAGAATCTCGCACATACAAGCGCACGCACTCGACAGCTAGCCGTGTCGCCGTAAGGGCTAGTATAGAAGCCTGCCGAAGAAAGCAGCAGACAGTGCTGGCGGTGGTATGATGTCCAACCCCGATACAAAAGTCTCTGCAAGAACTCAGGCTGAGATCCAAGGCGAGGTCCCTTGCCGCTCTCTGAAGGAGAAAAAAATTATTTTATCTATCACAGTATTATTATGAGCACTGGTTTAGCATTTATGTACTTTTTTTTTTATTGCGGTTGTCTACCCACTGATTCGCTATATTCCAACGTAAATAAAGAAAATAGAAATAGGAGAATCAGAAGAGAAATAGAAATAGGAACAATCATTTATCAAACACTATTCGCCATATGACATAACAAAAATTACCCTGTCACAGCTATTAATACACAGGTATATAAAATAGCCAAGAGGTTATCTGGTCCAAGATGGCCGGCCAGAGACCCAGAACATGAAAGGAAAATTGTGGAACAAGTTAATTCCATTAGCATGCTAATGATTCGGAATAGATCCTGTTTAGCATAGGTATCATACACGTACGTACGTGTGCTACTACTTCCTAGATCTGTGGTAGAAACGATGCGCGATACATCTCACAGAGAAAGGCAAGTAACAAATGCAACGTGTTATCGATCTTCAAAATAAAGTATCTTCTAAATTCTCCAACCAGATCAACAGACATTATGATCATGAAATAGCGCCGCTATCCGACTCATTCATATGCCTATCGCGATTGTGTTAGAAAGTCGGACGCGACGCCTCTACTAGAGGATCGCTACAACTAACTCAATAAACTTCTCTGCACTTGCAGACTTACCTTCTGATAATCTTAGGTCGCTCTGTAACAGGAGTGCGCGGTTAACTTAAACAACGGCAGTATAGTTAGGACACAATAGCGAATGTGTAGAAATAGCTAGACTACATAAACCGTTGCTTTTAAGCTATATTGCATGTGGCGAAACGTCATTTTCCATATGCATTGAACACCTTTCTTTACATTAGATACAGTACTTTTGTCATATGGTGCTATTTTTGATAGAAGCAGTTACGCCCCACTCCAGTTACCATAGAATTTCTTAGGACGAGTCCTCAGGCTACCTATGCGTAGGGTGAAAATTGACATTGAGGTAACTATCTCTAGAGATATTTAGTTTCTTTTCATTTACGATTATAATTTAATTGCATCAAACTGTTGATGCAATCTAATTATGATCGTTACCCAGCCGAGTCGATAGGATGTTACGCCTGTTGGGCGAGATGTGTGTCAGGTGTGAGGATATATTTCGAGTTTTCATTTTTGAGATCGTGTACCACAATTGAGTTCCGTCGGCTCCACCAATTCCCGATATTTTCGGAGGCAGTTGGATACCTTGAAAGCATAGAACATGCGAAGCTGTGAAATATGGTAAAACTCTACAGAAAACTTACGTCTTGGATACAATACTAACTGGACTAGAAGCCTTTTCGCATTTTAAACGTTATTCTAAACAGTGATTCAGAACGGAGAATAAAATCTCGGTTTATAGTATCATTACTATCAAGCGAGAAGACACTATCTCACGTATTTCTATATACTCGCTTCCCTGTTTTGCATCTTATTTTCCACTCAAACGGCTCTTATCCCAAATGCTGTTTTCCTCGCCGTCGCAAATTTTAAATTGCGCCCCTTGCCAGCTTGCTTTCTGATATCTCCAACCTTCTTACCTTTTATCTATTTCTCGCTCTTTCCCGGTCTGAGCTCTAAGTAACCGCAGTTTTCCCACTGATTCCCAACGAATTTATTTTTCAGTCTCCTGCGCACTCCCACGGGTCGCGCTTTCTTGGTGGCTCCACGTTCTTTATCGACCTAATGCGTGCAACCGGCTTATCCTGACCTAGCTCAACCCGACTCAACGAAACGCGGTACGGTTTTCCTTCCCTTGCACGTCCTTCTCCTATCGGCCCGTATTGTAGCCTTTTTTCTTTTCGAAAATTTTTCCTCCCATTTTTGACTCAATTTATGGTGCTGAGTGGGAATTTGCTCTCGGTCGCTTCTTCTTGCCTGTTTCTGCCTTTTCTCATCCCTCTTCCGGTCTCTCGGCTACTTCCACTGAGGCGGGCCAGACAAGCAGACATTGATGTTCTCAAAAGTTTCCCGCATACAGGTACCTGTACATAACCAGGAAGCGAAACTTCCGGCGATACAGAAGTCAGCTACAAAAAAAGCAGGCTAGACAGACATGTAGTTAAATAAACCGTCGGAGTTGCTCTGCAGTTTAGCGAGAACTACCATCGCAGCATGAGCGATAGTTAGAATTACCATTGGGATTAGCTTTCGTTGATGTTATCACGGCCGCTTTTACCGACCCTGCCGATACCCCTACACCTGCCGTCTTCAAGACATTTTGGCCGGTAAAAAGGACAACTCTAGCCACAAGGTCGTCAGGCCTTTTCCTCTTTCTTTTGTATATCTTATGTCAGTTTTTGGTTTCTCTGCTGTTCGGACCTCGGTGCCTCGGCCGCTAATAGACGAAAGCTGTCACCCGCTAGTGTGCCTCAACGACCCTAGAATTCGTCTCAATTTGCTTATCCCCGCCTTTTTCAGTTTTATTGGCCATTGTTTCCTTTCGTAACCAAAGACGAAAAGCTATTCGGTATTTATTGCCTTCTTTTTGCCCCACGAAGAGTGAAGCCTTCGATTCGTGTTTGCCCGCCTTGTGCCCTCGTTTATAGAGAGACTCTTATTCTCTCTCGTAATTTGCCTGTCATCTCTTTGCCCCAAAGATCGTTTATCCACCAACTTCGTTGCCGTCATCTGGTTTTTTCTCAGTTCTTCTAGTTATTCTCTCTCATCGTCTTCTTCCTATACATTTGTAGCTCCTTTTTGTAGTCCTATCCATATGCAATGATAGCTTTAAGAAAGAAGCTCCGGTTCCCACAGAACCCAATGGCCCTTGCGAGGTTGGAGATGGTAGTAGGATCTAATCGAAAGACAAGGGCCACATCGACTTGGGCGATCGGTTTAAAAAGAATGAGAAACGCGAGGAGGTCGGGCTGCTGCCCCTTACCATCGCCAGCGTACATGGCACACCGGACCCTACGTTCATTGTGGTACTTCTATTACTTCTCTTCTAATAAAGCTTTTTGTCCTCAGGCAGCAGCAGCACCAGCATCAGCAGCGGTGGTAGCGACAGCACTAGATAGTCGAGATCAATCGGTCAAGCCGTCCCGAAAAGCCATCTGTTTTTTAAAGCCTTAGAACGTTTGAGTGTTCCCTTGTCGTTCAACACTATAACCTTCGCTAATAACGACTCTAACTGCTTCGGCTATTACAACAATATAACCAACTTGGCGGGGAAAATTACTGCTCGTTATTCTCGCTCTTCGTATGTGGCTTTCTGCAATAGAGAAAAACTTGCGCTTTCTAGCCCCCTATTTCAAGCGCACTGCTAGTATATCTGTAGAGAGGTGAGGCCATGAAACTCTATCCCAAGGGATCTCTTGCTGCATATTAGCCTAGGATTACATCCGAGTTAAATTGCTTGTGAGACTGCGCACTACAATAATACAGTTAAGCTCATTTGTTGTTTATGTTACAGGAGGGAAGCTTTTAAACTATACTGAATTATGTGAACGTGATGTCGGCAAATACTAGATTTTTTTTTGCCGGAACCGGTCATACATGTACTTCGGGCAATCTTTTGATTTGCTACGCGTCTACCTTCGCAGCTCCTAAACCTGCTTTACTATATCCGAAAATTTAGGTAGCTAGCTGGCAAGGCGATTTTATACTAGAACGACGACATAGTTATATCAAACATTTAACCCAAAACTAATGGTAGAAATAGATTAGACACGTGGTGACCATCCTTGTTTTGTGTAGGATTCGAGTGTGTCTTCACGTTTGCGACGCTTGGGCGAATGTAGCTTTTGTATTAAACGCTACACTCCACTGGACGGCAACTCGTAATCCTGAGAACCAATGTAATGGAATCATACCCTCTCTTTATATCGGAAGGCGATAAGCCGTCAACTAGTATCTGACTCGCTGATAGACGGTCTCTTCATTCCTTTAGGTATGAATGTATATAAAGTATCATGGAAATCGAATGTCACTTCGTAGACAAACCACCCATCATGGGACGCGATGTGTCTCTGCTATGATTATTACCATGGCGTTCACTCTTCGCTATAGCTGTATACATATTGAAAGCATTACCATTATGCCAAAAAGCGTTTCTCGCAATTTGTCTGTCTTCTTTCTTCTTGGTATTTCATACTTTGAACTTATCTGACGTGAATACAATACGTATCTAAACAGCTGCGTCTGGCCAAGTATTCAATTTGTAGATTCAAGGGTAGATGCAATTGCTTTTACTTTTGTCAAAATTTACAAACCTATTCTATAGATCTATATAGGAGTGTACGGAAGGAACATGAAATTACTTTCTTGGTTTGTGCGTCTACCACCTCTTCGTCGCTACAACTACCCTGCTGTTACGATCACAGCAACCGATGCTTGGTGATAGGTCGAAGGACCGTTGAAAGAAGGCTCAGCCGGGCGTACGCCGGCCAGCGAACTTCTGAGTCCAGTTTCGAGAAACGGCATTCTATACGATGCTTCTTAGCTGTGGATAATCGAATCCTTATCTTGGGTACACTTAATCTTCTATATATATTTCTTTTGCTTTCTATCGCTCAGAGTTCTATTGGCCTTTAGGTGATAGGATTTTATGTACTTCCTTCTCGACACCCTCATTGGTAGTGGGAATCGGGCGAATGAGTTAGAGAAGGACACAGAGAAGCAATCCCGGATCGGTAAACGCCAAGCTTATTTCGAAATGGAGATTCCATTAGAAAAGCTACAGCGGTCTTATAGTAGAGTCGATCTGATCGATAATGGTGAAGTAAACGCCGCCGTTAAGGGCACCAATGACAACGCTTGTGAAGTGAACTCAAAGTCAGAGATACCGTGCCTGTCGCGATTATTTTCAACCCCTGTATTACTCCTCATGCAAGAAGAGCATTTTTTTCATTTGGCGCGTACTGATGTCGAAGAAAACGTTAGTTCAAATGTGAGTTATGAAAACGATGGTGTACATAATATACGACTACTCACCGTTGTTTTGTTATACCTCACAAATTATGTCTTTTGCTTATGTTTTTTTTTATCCCTTTCTTGCTTACCCTAATTGCTTAATTGTTTCAAGCTATTAGAACGCGGCGATTTGATTAAAACGCTCCATGCGCGAACCCGATACAGACTCACGTAGACAAGAAACAACGAATAGACCGCCGACGCTAGAATGAATAACAAGTGACTTTCGGGGTGATTCTCTGTGGTCCTGTGGGCGGTCGCCAGAAGTTTCCAGGTTATGCCCCCAATGCGCAAAAAGCGATACCTGGACAAAAAAGGCAAAATGTGCTCCATTAGTGCTCCTGGCCGTACCCGCGCTATACCGCATTAACTGGCTCCACGAAGGATTAAGGCTGCTTTTAGCACAGCTCGATCCAACGTTGCAGTTCTTGATATCTTTCTCTGTAAATTGTATCTGATTCTCTTTCGCGGGATAGGTACATCTTATGATGTCCTCCTTCAAAATGCTTGAATTAGTTACCTTTTCCCGCCTTGGGTCTCAATGACCCATAGCATTCTTCAGGTCTTTTTCTCCTATAGGTGTCTGCTGCTTCGAAATTAAGTGATGCGCGTTTCGGCAGTTTTGAAGCTTAAAGTAGAGTTGGTTCGTCGGCGCGACCTTGTTTCCGTATAGGCTCGCCAATAATTTGACTGATGTTTTTACCTGATGGCAAACATGAGTGCAAAAGGTTTCTATGTGACAGATCCTTGTTCTCTTCCTCGTCCTTGGTCATGCTCGATCGTGACTGAATAATGAGTGACGTGAACAACGAAGACGTGCGAATTACATGATTACGGCGATCGCAGCGTCATTATAGAGTTATTTTTCGGGACACGAACTGCTCAAATGCTTTAGAGAGCTCGCTCAGCTGTCGGGTTGGGTCAATAATCGATTTTCGAGGGCTATCCAGTGAATTTCTTTGGAAAAAAACTTTTTTGAAGCTTTTTTGAAGGAAAAAAGCTTTTGTCGTAACCTGGATGGGGTTGTGACCATCCCGAACTGTACGACAACACGGTTCAATACTACTCGTCGTTTTTTATTTACTGCCACTATCATTAATAACTTTCTGTTTTATTCCATAAAAGCATCACTCTAATCATCTCTCTCTCTATTTGATACCGATACTCTGTTTCAGAAAGCATATTATAGCTGATAATATTGACAAAGTTAACGCAATATTATGCGCGCACGCATAACCAATGATAATTCGTCTGCTTTAAAGTAAACAAAACAGTATCAGCCAGACCAACATAATTTCCAGTGCTAACACTCATTGCATTTTCTATTTCGTTTTTACTTGGTTTTATCTGCACACACTCAATACTTACGCTATATATGGATGTAAATATGGCGACGGCCGAGGCGGATTGAAGGAAGATGAAGCAGCAAAACATCTGCGATAACGATCAGTAGTGATGGATGATGGACTCTCGGACGATCGATAGGCCGACGGTAAAGGCATCCACCCCAATCAGCAGTGATCAGTCATCTTAAACTGACGCAGGTCAACCGTAATTGTAAAGCCAATCGGTTCTTCTCCATCGAGCTGTAATACTGTTCACAAGGATTTGGGCCTAAATTAGAGTTCTAAAAATAGATAATAAAAATTGGAATGTATGTAGATTAGAAATAAATAGGATTCGCTATTTATTTCTAATCTAATAATTTATTTCGCAGATATGCTAACTTTTCTCGCCTCGAGCTACGGCAGGACGGAGCAACGTGATATGCTTCCTGAAATTTTAAGCGCGAAGATCTTTCCCGCGACGAAATTTATCTAGAGTTCATGTAAGTGCGCGTTGTATTTTGCCTGATACCATATTTTTATGCCTGTGTTTGCTCCTTTTTTTCTCCTCTCTCGTATTGTGTCAAACTGGTAGAAGCTACTAGGGAAAAAAACTGGCATAGCTGCCTCATAGTAAAATGGTTTTACGTGGGAAGACGGAAGCTGATAGCGCGGCCTATTGTGAATAAGGTGTTTATGTGCACGCATTGTTATATTGACTAAATATAACAATTTATCTATAGGATGACCCTATTGTTTGCAGTAGGGCACAGCGTTTATATTGTAGTATACGCTAGACTTTATGAAAAGGACATTCTACTGCTGCTGTCTGTTAATTTTGCATTTCTGCCGACTATGTCTAATTCGACCTTGAGGTTTTTTACAAAACAGCCAACACAGTAGAGGGATATGTCTTCGTTAAACATAGGTTAATATTTATGTAGGTGCCGAGCCATGATGGAAACTCTATCACGGAACCTTTTTGATAAATACGGTAGACAAAAGATAGCGTCGCCAGCGAATCCGACAAAATATCTCCAGTGATGAGGCATAACAGGAGCTTTATCGATAAAGAGAGTTTAAAGCATCGTAAGAGAACAAAGTCTGTGGTCCTGCTAAGGAAAAAGGGAAGCAACGTTGTTACCCCGAAGGTGGGACGGACGGACGGACCGAAAACTCTTACACAGCCGTGGTGAGTATACGCTGTTGGCCGAGGACGAAATCATTTTACTTGTAAACGCGCATTTGATTTTATTTGTCATTTTGGTTTATGGTAATCCGGGATTTACTTTTGTGTTATTCATTCAAGTGAACCTTATTGAAGACCTTGTGCTTAAAGACTTGTGGCAAGTACCGATCTATAAAAGTTCTATGTGAACCAAATCTATTTTGATTATTCAATAACCTTCAACTAGATTTTCAGCTTCAAATCAAAGAAAAGAATATTCGGAAGTTGCAACTACACAACTCTGGCTATTGCGATAGTGAGAATGTTTTTCCTCTGACCGTTTCTTCAAGATCATTTGAAATAGCTCAAGATTTGAAGAGTTTAGTTCAGATATATAACTTTTGACACTGATGTCGTTTGCGTTTTTTTGAACGAATTTTAAAGCTGTGAAATCCCGCAAGCAGCCGATAGCTCGTTGACTCGTTCAGAACACGAGTTATAAATTCATTATTTAAAATTATGCCATTAGCTCACTATAGAATTTCCGGCTTTCGTAAGACGATTTCCGTTGGCAATAGCAACCTACCCGTAGGAATCCTATTAATACACATTTTTTCCACGACGAATACTATACACAGCGGATGATGTCCAGGTGGGTGGTAGGCAAAACCTGTTTGCTCTTTGTAGACCTATCCAATCTGTAGTTGAAGCCTGATTGCTTGCTGATTAAAGCCGACAAAAATTGATATGGGCATAAATCCTTGTATGAATTTGCCTTAGGGTTTGAAGCGTTACTTCAAGCGCGAGATGCCAACATTGGACATACATGGAAAAGGTGGGCAAACATTTAAAGAAATGCTATCCCAGGAGAAAAAGGATGGTTAGATTATGAACTATCATCAGAAATGAGTCTGTAGACGTGCATTATATATGATACAAGCAAAATGAGTTGATTTCAAGGGCAGAGAGCAAGAGGAACAACTCTGCCCTCGTCGTACCGTAATCCCTTCTACACGTTGGACTGCTCAGAGGCGAAGGTCAAAGCGCGACGCTAGCAAACACCTACGCAGACTCAACCTATATCTCAACCCGTTTTTCTTGAAAATCGGGGAGTGCTTTGCGATGTGTAAGAAACGGAAAAACAAAGTGGCATCATTCAACTAAATTCGACTACAGGAAATATTCTGTTTGCCGTAAGTACTCTTTGGGTATGCAGTAAGTATTTGGGTATTAATTCTAGGTAACTAAGTTTCAGTGATAGAAATAATTACGAAAATGTTATAAAGCCATGCACCCGCGTTACACAACTTAGATTTGTACAATATACAATTTGTATACATTTGGGTCATCGGTTGACGAGTTCCATATTCACTAGTGGTGTACCTTATCCAAGTGCCAATATATATATATATATATATATATATATGCATATATATACTTTAGAGTAGGCTATTAGAATATTAGTCCGAATAGGTAAATTCCGAAATAGACTTGTTTTCTACTTGTCAGTCAATCATACCTCAATGCCAATTAAATAACAATCCAATGCCAACGAACACGGTTGTATGTGATCAATTGACCATAGCGGCAAGTAAATAAAACAAATAAATAGGTTTGTTGTTCAGGATTTAACTCATTAGCAATAAGCACCAATAGACAGTGTCGGTTTTGATCCACCAACTACAAAAGCCGTCTAAATTAGTCCGTAATGTAAACTCATCCCCAAGGTCGTAAAGTCATCCCCTGACATTCAGATCTACGGATGTAGACTCACTGAACCTCTTCGATATTCGGGTGCAGACGCAGCAAAGGCGTTAGCGACTGCCAAGGAGAACTCGAGACGTTTCTGATCAATCCTGAACCCAAAGTGAGACCGTACGCTGTCACAACGGACGGGTCTCAGCCGCCGGGCTCCCATAATAAGTGAGGGAGGCCGCTCTGACTATTCTCTGAGTAGTACTCAGACCTTTGTCGTGCTCATTCGATCGTTGCTTTGTTTGCTTGTCGTCAGTCGGGTTCCTGTACCGTCTGTCTATTCATAAAGTTTGCAGGCGTAAAATATGTTAGCGGTGTGGGCAGCGACGATGGCTGTGAGCTCTCATAGGCGCAGAAAGGACCCGAGAGGCGTAGAGCCGGATGGCTGAATGGGAAATGACGACGGTACGTAGGAATGCAGGCAGTGAACGTGGGCGGCTCTGCTCACAGAGTCTGGCCCAGAGATAAGGAACGCGCACGAAAAACAGAGAGGAACGAACAAGTCGTTGGTTCATACAGGGCGACTCGCAGTCGATTTCATAGTAGCCTAAAGCAATAGAGCCTACAGCCTCCTTAGCTATCTTCGAGGGGCCCCGGCGGTCCTATTCGGCTAGTTATCTAGGTGAAATAGTCGAAGTAATAACAGCAGTAGAAGTACCCTGGTAGGTACAAAAGCAAAAATGGCGAACAAACCCGTTCACTAATTCATACTCGGGCTCTGTATGATCCTATCCAACCAGTCCTAGTTCGTTCGACCATCTCCTTTTAACTAAAAGAATTGGGTTATTCACAGCGAACCCACAGGGTTGCCCTACACACACGCGACCAGCACCATCATCACTTACAAGCTTGAATGCCGTGCCGCAGCAGCAGCAGTAGCGAGCTGTTCTTTCTACGCTATTACGGCTACTGCTTTACTTTCGGCTTCCTACTATTCATGCATAGAAAACCATAAATGACTGAAGGATTTTTGAAA